CCCCGAGGGTGGCCAGGTGGGTGGGTGGGTGACGCTGCTGCCCTCCTTCCCCCACCCCAGCTCTGCCCCTCCTGACGCTGCCCACGTCTCGCCCCACAGCAGAGCCCGCCCACATGGAGCCTACCTCCGCCTTAGCGCCCGCCGTCCCCTCAGCAGACCTGCCCAGCACCCTCCTCATCTTCGGGGTCCCAGTGGTGGTGGGGCTCGTCCTGGCTCTGGCCGCTCTCTGGGCCCTCCTGGCCTGCAGCAAGGCGGGGAAGCAGAGGAGGAAGAGGAAGGCGGTGGACAAGGAGGCCGAAGGTAGGGCACTTCTTGATCTCCCTGTCACCGCACCCTGAGGATCCCAGGGCAGAGGGGATCGCTCTGCCTGCTCCCCTGAGGCACATCCCCATCGGGGCCAGCTGCTCCACCTCAATATGGGCTCCTCGGGCACCCCAGGGCGTTCCGGGGCAGCTGAGACACCCCCGAGTGATGGTGTCCCCTGGAACCTGCGGCTGGCTGCCAGCGCGACCCTGCCGAACACACCCTGGGTCTCCCTGTGCCTTCGCTTGCCCAAAGCACCTTCCGGCACCATCCCCTCTCCATGGGGGACACGCACAGAGCGCTGGTGAGGAGCCTCTCCCCCGGCAGGCGGAAGGCTGTGGATGGAGCGGGGGATGAGGGGGCTGCAGAGACAGCGGTGGGCATCCTCTCCCCATGGTGCTGCAAATGAGGGTCCAGTGCTGACCACCCAGCTCACCTTTCCCACTCGGGATGCCCGGTGCCCTCCAACACACGACCCAAAGACCCCGATGGTGTCAGGGCCAGCCCCGTCGGCAGGATGCTGGAGCAGTGCATGGAGTCATCCCCAAAGGCACCCAAAATAGGGCTGGGAGAAGAGGGACAGGGGTGAGCCTTTGCTGGTGGGATGTTTCCAGCAGGGGTGAGGCCACGGTGCCTTTGATGGCTCATCTTGTTGGGGCATCAGCCAGGGGCCAGGCAGCTGTTTCCTCCCCTGGGGACCCCCGCCCTGGTGCCGACTGAGCCCTGGGCACTCTTCTCACAAAGGGTCTTTCCTGGCTTCACCCCTCCCCATCCCCAGGCAGGGGTAAGTGGCCCCAGGAACCCCATGAGCGGCCATCCCAGGGGATGCTAGCACCCACCACCGCCCCATCGCCCGGGTGGTCGCCCTCAGGGGGTGGCGGGGCCCGGGGCAGACGGTCCTTGCACCCTGGCTTGCCCGCATGCCACCAGCAGTGCTGGCCGGGTGGCTCAGATCAGGGGGGACATTATCTGGGGCCTTTCCGCTAAAGCAAGTGTGGCTGCGAGAGCCTGTGATGCACACACCTGGGAAAAATAGCAAGAACGAGAGAGGAGGGAGAAATCCAGTGGCAGGAGAGGTTGGGCCGTGGTGGAGAGCATCAGAGGCACCCCTCGGCTTCTCCCCTGCCACATGTCCTGGTCCCTGTCCCCCTGTCTCCGTGGGCTGCACCCCGGCAAGCCCACCACTGCAGCGCTGGATGCATGGAGCGTCGCAGGAGGCCAGGGGCCGGCGGCACGCGCCTGACATAGAAGCGTGTAAACAAGTCTATTTTTAAGCAGGAGGCGGTCAGGGAGGGCGAACTGCCAAGGGCTGGGCTGCTCTGCTGTCGGCCGGGTTTAGCGAGAGGGCTCGAAGTGCAAGTTTCTGCCTTTCCCTATTATTTTTTGGGGGGGAAAAACACCCTATCAGTTGTAAGCAGGAGGAGCTCTGCAGCAGGAGAGGTTCACTGGGGACCTTGCAGGCTCCTCCTGCTCCAGCTCCATCTTCCCCCTGATGTGTCCCCAGAGACGGGACCTTCTCCCTGCGACCTGCCTGGCCCTGCTTTGGGGGCCCCGTAACTCCCTTTTCTTGCCCCCTCCCAGCAAACATGGATGCTACCAGCCCCCTGCCCAGCCCGGGCTGCCGGGACCTTGTGCTGCTGGAGGGAGATGCCGCCCTGGCCCCAGCCCCATGCCTGCATCTCAACGGAGGCCTGAATATGCCGGGACCGCCTGGGAAAGACAGGGCAAAGCGGAGGCCGTGCTGCCGGGGTGATGCTGACGGCGACATCGTCCTACTTTCCACCGTGTACCCCCGGCACAAGGAGTGCAACCATGGCTTCCCACTGCCTGCCACCGAGCTGGGGGCCACAGCCCTGGTCACCACCAAAACCACTCAGAACTGTGCCAGTGAGGAGAGAGCCTGAGGGCCGGCGGAACAGGACCGGAGTGCTCCAGCTGCTCCCTGCGGGCACCCAGACTCCATCCCCGGGATGGGCTCAGCCTTGCATGGACGCGAGCTGCCTGAGGACTGGGTTTTGCCTCCAGCAGGATGAGCCTCCTAAGATGACTGCCTTTGTCCCCTTCCCCATTTGTGCCAAGTCCTGAATTACGCCTGTAAGCGGTGGAGGAAGCCAAAGCGGATCACGCCAAGTTATGCCAAACTTCTGACAGCTGCCACGGCCTTACCACTGGGAGGAAGCAGAAGAGATATGGCCAGTGAGGACAGAGTGTGGTGGGGGCTGCTGTGCCATTTGCAAGGCTGCTGTTGTGCCAGGACGGGTCTGCTGCTGGATGGGTGATTCCTGGGAACACGGGGCTGGAACAGCAGAAAGGGGGGGGGGGAAAGGAAGATGGAGAGGGAAGAAGGGAGTTACATTAGGACCAAATCCCGCACCGCTGCCATTAGCTCAGTTTTTGCTGCTGACCTCAATAAAAGGTGGCTAGGGGCCATATGGATCAAGGCACATCCAGCATCTGCTCCATTCACAGTCCTGCTCCCGCCCCGTCTTCTGCGTGCCATAATATCCGAGTCTCTCCTCCCTCTGGGCACTCTCACATGGTGGCAGACGTCCACCGGTGCTCATGGGAACCCCCTCCACAACTGGGTACCCCAGGGATGGGAGCCAAGTCGGTCTTACCAAGCAGGGAGCGAGGGAGGGAAGAGGGGGAAAAAAAAAATCTGTCTTTGCTCTGACCTACAATCACTGAAATCAGGGAGGACCAGGGGCAGGCAACAGAGACTGCTGGTCTAGAGGAGCTCCATGAGCTTGTCATTATGGCCCCAGACAACTGTCACTTCAGCTCACTGTGGCTGCAGAAATGCCACGTGTCACTTGGGATGACAGGGCTCCCGATGATGGATGTTTCCACACCGTGCAAAACCAGGCAGAGAGTGATGCGAGAGTAGGCGGGATGACTTAATTTATGTGAGTGTCTTCAAGGCTTTGCCTGTGTGACAGAGCTGGCCGGCATCGCTCGTCCAAGGCATTTCCCTGTAGATGGTCTCTTTCACCAGCCCACAAGTGGCTTTACTGCGCAGGAAGGGCTCTGCTTTGGAAATGAACTCGTTAGTGTGTGACTGCTGTTCCCAAGTAATTACAGTCACTGATCCCCCAGGCCACTGGCTTCGGTGAGAAACCCTGCTGGCCCCGGAGGGGGTGATTAGGCAATTAGAAGTGCATTGGGGGGGTTATTTGCATGAAGCACCATCTTGGCCGCAGCCCAGGTCTGCTCCTCCTTCGGTGAGGTGGCTTCCTCACCCGGGAGGCTCTGGGGACCAAGCAGAGGTGGTCAAGCAAGGTGTGGGAGCACTGCTGCCAAGCGCCAATGGGCCACCAGTACAGCTCACAGTAGGGTTGCCCGGTGCGGAGGGGCTGTCCCTCCGACAACGGGAAGGTGACTCCCTGCCGAGGCCTGAGCTCTCTGCTGGGGCTGCAGGACCAGACGCTGCTGTTGAAAGGTGACTCTCCCTCTTCTCCCCTGCCTGTGGCACTGGAGCCGGGCTCCATCCGTAAGGGGAACCACAGTTGCTGCCACAGCTGCCAAGGCTCAAATTCCTCACCACGACTCCTCTCCCAGACCTAAATGCACTGGCGGAGCTGAGCCTTCATCCAGCTGAGGCTCCGAATGACGCTGGGTCCCCGTCTCAGCCTTGGGGTTGAGGATGGTGGATGGGCTGGCCAACATGCCCAGCGACTGTCTCCTGGGGCTTCAGGTGCCCGTGGCTCACTGGAAGGAGCTGTGGAGGCTCCAGCGCTGGGTTCCCATGGCCACGCTGCCCGTGGCAGGAGGGGCATCCCTGCAGAAAGAATCGGGCATCTCCTCACCCCCATGCTCCCCACCCGGTCCTGCGAAGTGACTTTGAGCAACCTTTGTGCCTCTGGAGTGGGTAAATGAGCTGAAGCCAGGCTGGGGGACGTTTTGGTGCTGGAAGAAGGACTGCCCATGGGAGGCAGAGTAACCTGCTTTACGGGAGATGGGGATGAGAGGGAAAGGGAACAGGACTGTCAGGCTCCTCTCCTGCTTCCCACCCAGTGACCACCACAGCTCAGCCTTGCCGATGCGCCGCCCACCCAACCTGCACGGCAATTTGAAAAGGAAACTCCCTTACAAATCCTGTTGAATAAGCCCCTCTTTCTGCTCGGGTAAGGGCTTCCGCTCTCATTTCTGTCAGAGCTTCAGCCAGGCATCTCCTCTACGGGATGCTGCCAGCATCTGCAGTTTGCAGAAGGGACATTTTGTTCCACATCGGATTCCTCAGCCGGCGAATGCCCCTCGGATCCCCTCTCTGTTATGGCGTGCAGACCATCTTCCCCATGTCCTGCCCGTCCGGCTGCCAGCGTGGTGAGGCAGAGCTCCCCTCCTGCCTGGCCTGCCTGCCTGGGCCTGGGGGAGATCTGCAACCCCCTCTGTGCATGCTTCTCCGTCCTTATACACAGGGCAGAGGACTGTCCACCTTGTCTGCATGGAAAACAGAGGGAACAGAGATGAAAAATAAGGGTGTAAAAATTAAAGAATAAAGTGAACCCATTGCCAATGCATACTTAGAGGTCTGTACAGGGAGATCCCCATTCCCCTGGCTTCAGGGGTCTTCAGCACAGTGGGTCCGGGGGTACAGCAGGGCCTTGAACTGGAGACACTCCCTCTGCACCGGCTTCACCAGCACATCCCCTGCACACAGCCAGGTACCTGCTGAGCCTGGCCACCTTCATCCCACCCATGGCCTCCCCGGCAGCTGGCTGATGGGACAAGGAGCGGAGAGAGTGGGGTTTTTTTGGGGAAGGGGGTGTTGCCCATCTTTGACTTTCCACAGCAGTTTCTCACTTCCCCCTGCGAGGCAGGAGCTGTGCTTCCTCCCCGGCATGGTGCCCGCCCCGCTGACCGCACAACTGCCTAGAAGAGCTGGTGAGTCCAGGCTTCACCTGGCCCAAGGGGCGCAGGGTTTCGGACAGGGGCAGGGGAAAGTCTGAGGAAACCCCAGGGCAAGAGGAAGGAGCTGGGGCTAAAACCCTCCTCACTGCAAAACCACCCCAGGCGTACCCCTAGCCATTTTAACCCCACTGACCCTGGAATGAGGGAGGTCATGGGGGTGTTTGAGCTCCTGCAAGTCCTGTCAACAATGCTGGTGGTAAAGGACGGTTGTGGTTTAACCTGGCGGCCGACAACTAAGCACCAGACAGCCGCTCGCTCACCCCTCCCCTTCCCCTGCAGCAGGATGGGGAGGAGAGAGGGACAAAAGGGGAAACTCAAGGGCTGAGATAAAGACAGTTTAATAAGGCAATAAAGTAAATACTAGTAATAATAATGATAATAATAATAATGATAATAATGAATATGCAAAATAAACTATATACAGTACAATTTTTCTCACCACCCAACTACCAATCTGCAGCCAGTCCCTGAGCAGAGATCACGGAACACCCAGATTTTCATAGATTTCATGAAATTCCCAAAAAAGTTCAAACTCTGGGAAAAACAAAAAGTCAATAGCTTTCCTGCCCCCTGGACAACCCCATTCATAAACTCAGCATGATGTTTATGGTATGGAATATTTCCATTGGCCAGCTTG